ATTGGAAGATAGAATTTGATATTTCTATGATGCTAAAGTGACGTAGTGATGATGTTACGTATGTAGAAGCATGTTGCTTTGTTTGCTTGCATTTGAAGATGTATAAAAGTGAAAGTCAATGCCTTTATCCTCACTCTGGTTTGATTTTGGATGAGATTCCACGCCAAAGTCTCAGCTAAAAATAAACATACTTTTCTGCCTCCAGAAAGGATTGCTCTTGGTATTCTCTCTCCTATCTGCTGCTACAATATTAGAGGTAAAGATGAAGTACTTTGGCCACATAATGAGAAGACAGCTTAGAGAAAATAATGATGCTGGGGAAAATTGAAGGAAAAAGGAAGAGGGGGCGACCAAGGCCAAGATGGAGAGATGGTATCCTTGAAGAGACTAGCTTGACTCTGAAGGAGTTGGGGGTGGTGACAGCCGACAGGAAGCTCTGGCGTGGGCTGGTCCGTGAGGTCACAAAGAGTTGGAAGCAACTAAACGAATGAACAACAACCTCTTGTCTCACCTCTGTTAGTAACTATGAGTCTTTTGTAAGTCAGATGTTTGTAAGCTGGAGACTGCCTGTAATTACTTAACACATTACTCTGATCATATAGAAACTTACTTGTTACTTGAGAAACTGCAAATTGCTTCCTGTGTGAGAGAATTGGCTGTCTGCAAAGACGTTGCTCAGGGAATGCCCAGATGTTTGATATTTACTATCCTTGTGAGAGGCTTTACTCATGTCCCCCCAGCTGGAGCTGACAGAGGGAGATTCTCCAGATTCGAACTGCTCACCTGTCAGTCAGCACTCCTGCCGACACAAGAGTTTAACCCATTGCACCATCGGGTGTTTCACTATATCAATTAATCTGCAATACTTGTGTTGTGGTAGCATGCTGGCAGTGATTCCAAATATAATTGGGATCCCTTTTCCTCATAAGAATCCCACAAAGAAGACAGCGGAAACAAAATTAACCAGACTGCCATATTAAGTCAGGAACTAGAAGGGTTTTATACCCTTGTAGCCACTATCATTGCAGAAATTTTTATTAGAACAGCAGCTGTATACGTACATTTTCTTAGACTTTTCATACAAGTACCAGTCATCGCATTTTGAATTATCTACGTTGGTGCACATATTGACTACTTGCCACGGTTCGAAATCTAGAGTGGGAGAGCATGAGAATAATAATAAAAAAGATTCTGTAAATGCCACTTTTTCGTGAACCCAGCACCTCATGCCTTTGGGAAGCCTTCTCTCACTTCCTGAGCCAGCTAATCCCTGAACAAAAGGACTCACCAAAAACTCTTTACATGACTGAAAAAAACAAATGACTCTAATTCTTGAGACCTCAGAGAAGCTAAAGGCTTGCCCATCTGAGGGATGGATTCTAAGGACATTCAAATCATCTTTCACAAAAGGTGTTTGGTCACCTCAGTCTCCTTCCATTGTGTCAATTCCTCTGGCTGATACTGATCCAAGATATCATCAACAGACCCCATACCCAGGACCCAAGGACAACAAAGGGATTGACTTCCTAATCAGTCAAAGAAATATTTCCAGGAACCAAAGACAATAACCAGTCTGGCTCGAGAGCTTAGGAAAAGCTATCGCTAGCCATTATACAAACATTAGTCATTTAATCCATTCACCTTGTCCTCTTGGTTAATTGTTTCCTGCCCTGACCACCTCCTTCCTTCCCACTGGCCGAGAGGCCGAAGCAGCGCTGGCTCCCTGATTGGCTGAGCCACAAGTAAGCCAGCCGCACCTCCCAACCAGCTGATGACTCCATCCAATCAACACAAAGCCGGCAAGGGGGGCGAGAGCAGGAAATTTGAATTTGACAGCTTGTATTTTCTATAAGAACCATGTTGTTTTGACTTGCAAGGCATGTCGGCTTTGGCAAATTATTGCATTTTGACATCCGCTCCAGCTGGAATGAAATAAACATCTCAGTGGCTTCTGCTTCAACTTGGTGAGATTTATTCTGGAATATTGGCTTCTCTTTCTCATCAGGCAACCCACAATGGTTTGGGCCTATCCACAGCAATTCTAAACTGCTTGACAACAGGATGGCAAGAGTGCAGGAGGGCAGTTGGCCAAAGTGGGGAGCAGATGTTGGTTATAGAGACCTTTGCTCTACTACTTTTAGCTGTCATTTCCTTATACCCATGGATTTGCTTCACTCGAATCTCCCAAATCTTCATCAGGTTTTAAGAAGCGGTGCATTTAAATCCTGCTGGACTATTTTTGAAACAAGAACACCACCTTTCATCATTGTTCAAGACAAAACTTGCTGCTGACTGCATCTTAGCAGAATGAATTGCTGAATCTGCAGATCAAAGTGTGAAATGCTTTTGGGAGCACTTCCACACAGCCAAATATCCCAGAATAACAAGGCAGAAAATCCCACAATATCAACTTTGAACTGGGTTTTTTTGTCTTAATATTCTGGGATATAGGGCTGTGTGAGTTATCTGTGGGAGGCTTGCATCATAATAATAATAATAATAATAATAATAATAATAATAATAATAATAATAGAGGGAAATGTTAATATCAAGAGAGGAATTTTCCAGGGTGACTCACTGTCACCACTGCTGTTCATCATTGCAATGATCCCTCTGTCAGTAATTCTACAGAAAACAAACCTGGCCAATGACAAGTTTGCAAACTTTGGGGGGGGGGGGGTGTTATTTCTTGTTTTTGTTGTTTTTAAATACAATGCAACTGTTTGGTTTGCTCCTGATACAATAAATAACTAAGCTGGTTGAGAAAATCAATACTTGAACAGTCTGCCATTGGTATCTGCTGGGGTTTGGTTCCATGTAGGTCGGAAATGCAGCAGCAGTATCAATAGGGTTAGATAGTCTGGGGGATCTGAAGAATCCTCCTGTCTTTAGTCAAACTATTCTACTCACATCTGTGATGTAGACTGATACTCTCAGGGATTTTCCATTTCTCCACCCATTCTCATTCTGAGAAGTTCTTTCGGTCTTCCAGGATGGTTTAGACTATCTCCATGAGTAATTCCAAGCCTTTGAGAAGTCTAGATCTCTACCGCTTGTCCACCAAAGGGGAATAATTACAAAATAGATACTAAAAACTTATGTCCCATTATAACGGTTTAGTAAAAAAGTATCCCTTTTTTTAAAAAAAATAATGTCAGAGGTGAATTGAGAATACTGCAAGTCGCTTCTGGTGTGAGAGAATTGGCCGTTGCCCAAGGGACAATGCTCTCACACCAGAAGCGAGGTGTGAGAGAATTGTAGGAGGCTTCTCTGATATCCCAGTATCCCTTATTTAAAATAGTAAAATCAAGTTTTGCTTCCTGGATTTTTTTAAGCAGGGAGGGAGGAGAGCTTGGAGCAAAAACAGGATAATTCCCCTTTCAAAAAAAATTAGACAGGATGTTATCCAGTCTACCTAATGCCTGTTAACCTTCCATCTGTACTCTTTGCCCCAATCATAGCCTATCCTCCACTTACATTTAAAATACATAGACCAAAGATCAGAGATCTTTCTTTTGATTGACATTAGTCTGTGAAGCACCACGCTTCTTATTAACAATACTTCTACAAGGAAAAAAAACTAGAAATCCACAACAGGTTTTTCAAGAAACATCTATACTGTAGAATTAATGCAGTTTGACATCCCTTTGACCGCCATGGCTCAATACTGGTGAAATGGTGAGATGTGGAGTTAGTCTTTAACTTTCTCTGCCAGAGTCCTGGTGCTTACCAAACTACAAATCCCAGGATTCCACAGCATTCAGCCACAGCTGTTAAAGAGGTGTAAAACAGCATTGTTTTTGAAGTGCAGACGTATCCATGGTTATGTAAGAGTCTGGTTTTAGTTAACTTAAACAGATCTGCAAACTTGGATGGATATATGTATTAAAATAAAAATGAAACAGGGCAGCAATCCGATCACCAGTAAAACTATTTAATATCACTCACTTCAATGGTTGAGTTAGTAAAGGTAAAGATTTCCCTTTGACATTAAGTCTAGTCGAGTCCGACTCTGGGGGTAGTGCTCATTTCCATTTCTAAGCCGAGGAGTTGGCGTAGTCTGTAGATGCCTCCTAGATCATGTGGCTAGCATGACTGTATGGAGCGCCGTTACCTTCCTGCCAAAGCTGTACCTATTCATCTACTCACATTTGCATGTTTTCGAACTGCTAGGTTGGCAGAAGCTGGGGCTAACAATGGGAGCTCACCCCATACTGCGGATTTGAACCACCGACCTTCTGGTCAGCAAGCTCTGCAGCTCAGCAGTTTAATCTGCTGCACCACCAAAGCCCTATGGTTGAGTAAAAGATGCGGATTTGTGCCCTGTGTTTATGTCAAGGTGTGTTTGAGCACAACTCCAAGTCCACGCAAACAGAAGACAAAGAACAAATTTGGATACCAACAGATAAATTAGATGATATCATAATACATTATTTTAGCCATTGTCCTCAAGATGTTGGGTTCATGGCCCAACATTTTCATCTTTTATGCCGAATCAGGTGAGAGTGATAATACTCTAAACCTCTGGAGGTAACAAGTTACCTTTCCCCTGCTCTATATCAACTTTTTTTGTGTGTGTCAGGAGTGACTTGAGAAACTGCAAGTTGCTTCCTGTGTGAGAGAATTGGCTGTCTGCAAGGATGTTGCTCAGGGGATGCCCAGATGCTTGATATTTACCATCGTTGTGAGAGGCTTCTCTCATGTCCCCGCATGGGGAGCTGAAGCTGACAGAGGGAACTCAGCCTGTTCTCCCCAGATTCGAACTGCTCACCTGTCAGTCAGCACTCCTGCTGGCACAAGGGTTTAGCCCATTGCACCATCGGGAGTTCCACCATATCAGTTAATCTGCAATACTTGTGTTCAGGTAGCATGCTGGTAGTGATTCCAAATATAATTGGGCTCCCTTTTCCCCATAAGAATCCCACAAAGAAGACAGCGGAAACAAAAAAGAATCAGACTCCCAAATTAAGTCAGGAACTAGAAGGGATTTATATACCCTTGTAGTCACTATCATTGCAGAAATTTTTATTAGAACAACAGCTGTATACGTACATTTTCCAATATTCTTCATAAAAGTGCCAGTCATCACATTTTGAATCTTCTACGTTGGTGCACATATAGACCACTTGCCACAGTTTGAAATCTAGGGTGGGAGAGAATGAAAATGAGAATAATAATAATAATAATAATAATAATAATAATAATAATAATAGATTCTGTAAGTACAGTATTTGAATTCAGCCTTTTGAGCTAGGATATTTCTGAACAAAAATGTATATATTGCTTTTAATGACTTAACTGCTCTCTTAACCTGCCTTTTTGTCATTTTTAACACATGTTAAAAACAAAATCTGTTCCAGATATATATTAAGGTTAGGCCTTGTATTCTCAATATGTGTTGAGTCCCTTTTGAAAATCCACATGTCTGGAATACTTAACCCCAAGGTGATTTTACCATTGACATCAGAACCACCATGCTTTATAATCCCAAAAGTTTTTAATTTTACCATCATATTGCATAAATTTGTTTATTTATTTACGATATAATTATCCTGCCTTTCTCAAACCCGAAGGCGACTCGAGGCAGCTTACAAATTGCCAGCAATTCGATGCCATAACAGTCCACAATATACAATTAAGACATTTAAAACAACATTATAAAAACAATATAAAAACCATTATAACATATAATAACCAATGTCTTCCTATTAATCTCATTTTCCAATAGCATCATCTAAGCCAGTGGTTCTCAACCTTCCTAATGCCGTGACCCCTTAATACAGTCCCTCATGTTGTGGTGACCCCCAACCATAATATTGTTTTTGTTGCTACTTCATTTTACTACTGTTATAAATCATAATGTAAATATCAGATATGCCAGATGTATTTTCATTCACTGGACCAAACTGGGCACAAATACCCAATGCACCCACATGTAAATGCTAGTGGGGTTGGGGGAGGATTGATTTTGTAATTTGGGAGTTGTAGTTGCTGGGATTTATAGTTCACCTATAATCAAAGAGCATTCTGAACTCCACCAGCGATGGATTTGAACCTAATTTGCCACACAGAACTCCCACGGCCAACGGAAAACACTGGAAGGGTTTGGTGGGTATTGATCTTGAGTTTGGAAGTTGTAGTTCACCTATATACAGAGAGCACTGTAGACTCACGCAATGGTGGATCTGGACCAAACTTGTCACAAATACTCAATATGCGCAAATGTGAACACTGGTGGAGCTTGGGGAAAATAGACCTTGACTTTTGGGAGTTGTAGTTGCTGGGATTTATAGTTCATTACAATCAAAGAACATTCTGAACTCCACCAACGATAGAATTGGCTCAAACTTCCCACATGGAATCCCCATGACCATCAGAAAATACTGTGTTTTCTGATGGTCTTTGGCGACCCCTCTGACACCCCTTCGCGACCCCCTCAGGGGTCCCGACCCCCAGGTTGAGAAACACTGATCTAAGCCGTTCCATGTTTGAAATTTACATAACTCCGTGTTTGTTGTAGCGAATTTGTTACTCTATGTGAAATTTTAGTGCATAGCTCTATGTTTGCAGGGGGCAGATAAGGAAGAATAGGGACAGAGAGGATAGCAACAGAGGGACAGGATTTATTTGCATATGGAGGCTGATTGGTCATATGTAGATTAGCATAGCCCAGGATTTCAACAGGTTGGGAGACAAAATGACAGTTGGGAAGAGCAGAGCTGAACATTCTAAAGGGGCGGAGTTAAGTTTAAAAAGAGGCAGTTAGAGTTGAAGAAAAAGGAGAGCAGTTAGTGTGGAGAGTTTAAGAAATGAGAGTTAGTTAGGGATTGCAGTTTGTGAAGGACAGAGAGTTAGGGATTCCTGTTCATGAGAGATAGTTAAGAAATCCTGTTAGAAAAGTAAGTAGTTAGTCAAACAGAGTACAAGTTTTGGGAACTTAGAGAAAAGCCAGTGGTACTTTAATCAGAAAGTAATTAGTCAAGTATGTGTAAAGCAAATACCATCTTGGTAAATGAGAAACTTTGAAAGTCTATTTCAGGAAAGTGCACCAAGTATATTATACATGACTGAAACTCAAGTTTGCAACAAAAATATCAATTGTAACCACAAGCGTTTGGAGCCTGAAGTGTTTGAATCAACTTCGTTACTTTGTTGCATATAAGAGAGCCTCCAGCCCGTGATTCAAATGTTTTACAACACACAGAGCGTCTCAGGTATTAAAGTGTTGGCAGAGGACCGCACATATGTACATGCTTTCTTTACAAAATGGTGGCTTCCCTGGCATTACATTTGTCTATTGCAATGCGTTTCCAAAGGCTTGTTCAAAGAGCCAGGTTTTTGCTTTTTTTCTGAAGATCAGGAGGGAGGGGGTTGATCCAATATCCCTAGTGAGGGAGTTCCACAGCCGAGGGGCCACCACTGAGAAGGCCCTGTCTCTCATCCCCACCAGATGCGCCTGCAAAAAAGCTGGGATTGAGAGCAGGGCCTCCCCAGACAGGCCCATAGCCAGGATTTCGTTTCGGGGGGGGGGGGGGGCTGAATTTTTTTCAGGGGGGTTTGGGGGGCTGAGTTTCAGGGGGGTGAGTCTGAGTGAAAGAGGGTCTAGCCTAGCAAACCTTTTGTATCATTACCCCAATACCCCCATGCATATGGGATATATTGAGTATGGTGATAAGATCATGATATGAATAAACATAACAGTTTAAATAATGCACCAGTAAGGCCTTTTCGCGAACCACCATGAGAATTTCGGGGGGGGGGGCTGAAGCCCCTCAAGCCCCCCCCCCCCCGCCTACATGCCTGCCCAGATGATCTTAAATTCCTAGATGGTTCATAGGGAGAGATTCATTCAGACAGGTAAGCTGTGCCGGAACCATTTAGGGCTTTATAGGCTAAAGCCAGCACTTTGAATTGTGCCCAGTAGCAAACTGGCAGCCAGTTGAGCTGGCGTAACAGAGGAATTGTATGCTCCATGAGTGCTGCTCCAGTTAGCAACCTGGCTCCTTGTCCTGACTTGCCCCTCAAGAACAATCTTAATACCACGTTGAAAGTAAATAAAAATGCTTTACTTCAGCAAAACATAAGAGAACAGTGCACGGTTATATAATGCAAAAGAAAGCAAAGAATTCTTAATGCAGACACAACACTCAAGTCTCTGATAAAGTCCAAAATAAAACAGTAGTCTCACATTAGATGAAGAAACAACATGCATTGACCAATACATCCCTAGAGGCAGTTTCTCAAACGCAGACTCGAAGCAGCTACAGATGGGAGTGAAGGCATAAACATTAGGGTTGTTTGTTACCAGATGACTACTCCTGCTTCTGATTTATAGCCCTGAATTCCCCATGCAGGAGGTGCTAGGGTGGTTCCCAATTACTTTGGAGTTTCTGGCAGCTATTCTAGCTGAATGGTGTCTTTGCTCTGTTTCCTTTCCTCTTTCTAAAAATGTGGGCACTTTCAAGACCTCATCCTCTGATTCTAATTCCCACTCTTATTCCTGAACACTTTCCTGCTTCCCTTCCTCTTCTGAAGATGAGGAATCCCTAACACTGCCACCTGCTGTGCCATTTGAAGCTTCCAAACAGTCTTCAAAGGTAACCCCACTTACAGCGCTTTGCATTAGTCTATATGGGATGTAACCAGAGCATGGACTACCGTGGCCAAGTCAGACTTCCCAAGATATGGGCACAGCTGACACACAAGTTTTAACTGCGTGAATGCTCCCCTGGTCATCACCAAGACTTGGAGTTCCAGGCTCAGTGATGAATCTAGGATCATTCCCAAGTTGCGAACCTGCATCTTCAGGGGGAGTGTAAGCCCATCCAACACAGTCTGTAACCCTACGCCCTATTCGGCCTTTTGACTGACTAGGAGGACCTCTGTCTTGTCTGGATTCAGTTTAAATTTGTTCACCCTCAATCAGACCATCACAGTGGCCAAGGACTGGTTCAGGACCAGGACAGCTTCCTCAGTAGGAGGTGGGAAGGAGTGACAGAGTTGGATGTCATCTGCATATATGTGACACCGCACACATTTTTTAATAAAGATCAAATAAAATGCACTAGTATGATGGCTTTCCCTCCCTCCCCCTCTCTCAAAATATACACCTATATTTATACATGGAGGAAAGTTCTGAGAGTGCCTTGGACTGCGAGAAGATCCAATCAGTCCATACTTCTGGAAATAAAGACCAGACTGCTCATTGGAGGGAAGGATATTAGAGGCAAAGATGAAGTACTTTGGCCACAACATGAGAAGAAAGGAAAGCTCAGAGAAGACAATGATGCTGAGGAAAATGGAAGGAAAAAGGAAGAGGGGCCAACCAAGGGCAAGATGAATGGATGGGATCCTTGGAGTGACTGGATTGACCTTGAAGGAACTGGAGGTGGTGACGGCCGACAGGGAGCTCTGGCGTGGGCTGGTCCATGAGGTCAAGAAGAGTCGGAAATGACTGAATGAATGAACAACAACAAAATTTATACATAAACGCTAGACTTGTGCATTTGATTTGGAAATACCTTTGATTCTGATCTAGTTTGGATGTTTAGTACTTTTGAAGTCAGTTCTGACAGGTCTGTTTGCTGCCCCCTCCCCCCCAATATTAAACAATTGTATCAAAAGGAGCCTTTAATTCTTAAGCTTTGGAAGCTGTGATGGAGCTAAAATTCACAGGGCAACCAAGCCCTGCTGAGAGGTGAAGCCAAACATGTTGCCATGCCTTTCCAGCCAATCAGAGCTGGTGGAGCAAGGAGGAAGAGGTATCCAAATTATCTGCTCTGAACTGGATGCATATGAATCTACACTGCCATATAATCCAAATCATATAATCTGGATTCAGAAACTGGATTATATGGCACTGTAAACAGGACCCCAAAAGCCAGTCCAAAGCCAAATCAACTTTAAAACATGTGCAAACTAGCAAGGGGAGAAAAAGAGCACAGCGGCCTCCATCTAATGCTAAGAATAGTGGAGTTGGACTCCTGACCTTTATAAACTTTCAATGTCATGCAGAGATGTTCATTGGCGGCGGCAGCGCAAAAGCCATCTTCGGGATAGCAGGGTAGCCAGGGCCTCATGCTGGTACATTGTCGGCAGACCACAGCATCTGATTTGTAAAAAGAAAAGTGTTTTTAAAAATACAAGAACAGCCTAAAAGTTTCTCTTAAAAAGGGAAATAATTACCAATGTTTATTTATTTACTTACTTACTTAATTTGTATACCGCCTTTCTCAGCCCGCAGGCAACTCAAGGCGGTTTACAGAGTAAAATTCAATGCATACAATATCATAAATACAATTAAAATATAATAATGTTTAGCACTTTTGAAGTCAGTTCTGACAGGTCTGTTTGCTGCCCCCCCCCCCATATTAAAMATTTGTATAATAAAATGAARCAGAATCAATAAAATATAAATCCATAGTGTCTCCTTGTTAAAAACATTGTTCAGTCTCATTGTCTAGTAGTTCCGTTGTCCTATGTCAATTACGCTAAATTTGCAAACGCTTGCTCAAAAAGCTATGTCTTTACTTTTTTCTGGAATGTTAAAAGGGAGGGGGCCWATCTAATATCTATAGGGAGTGTGTTCCRTAGCCGAGGGGCCACCACAGAGAAGGCCCTGTCACTTGTCTCCGCCAAACGTACCTGTGACAAAGGCAGTAACGAGAGCAGCCCCCCCCCCCCCCGGATGATCTTAAGGTCCTAGATGGTTCATAAGGGGAGATGTGTTTGGATATGTAGGGCTTTAGGGCTTTATAAGCTATTGAATTGTGCCCGGTAGCAAACTGGTAACCATATAAATCTAAGCCTCATCTACCAACCCCAGTTGGGTGCAATGATTGTTATATTCAACTGTGTGATACGAGCCCCCCAGTGCTGCAATGGGTTAACCACTTGTGCTTGCAGGACTGCTGATGGAAAGGTCAGCGGTTCAAATCCGTGGAGAGGGGTGAGCTCCTGTCTGTCAGTTCCAGATTCCCATGCAGGGACATGAGAGAAGCCTCCCACAGGATGGTAAAATATCCGGATGTCCCCTGGGCAACTTCCTTGCAGATGGCCAATTCTCTCACACCACAGACGCGACTTGCAGATTCTCAAGTCACTCTTGACACAAAAAACAAAAATTGTATCATATGGCAGCTAAAAATATCAATGTGATTCTAAGTGGCATCAAATAGTAATGTAGTGTTTAGATCAAGGGAAATAATCGTCCTACTCTAATCCACTTTGATCAGACCTCACCTGAAATACTGTGTCCATTTCTGGGCATCATACTTCAAAAAGGATATTGACAAAGTGGAAGGTGCCCAGGGAAAGGTAAGCAAATGCTTAAAGGTCTGGAAACCAAACCTGATAGTTGTCAAACAATGAAATCCCACCCCAGATATTTATAGTTCAAGGACACCTAACAGAATAAGATCCTCAACCTTTGAATAGAATGTATCCTTCTTTACAGTTTCAGCCTACATTGTATCCCTTCTTTGTAGCCTTGTCCGTATGATATCTTTTATTCCCTGTCCTATCCCTTTCTCTCTATATATAACAAAAATATATTAAATTATATGCTTTCTGCCACAGACAGCCATGGGATCATTGTCTCCCTGTTGACCCATCCAAGGAATTTCCTGGACAAACTGGGTTGGGCTAATTCTTTGGACAAAGTTGACTTGGGCCCCTTCCACACAGCTGTATGGAATCCATATTGAACTGGCTTACATGACAGTGTGGACTCAGATAATCCAGTTGAAAGCAGATATTGTAGATTATCTGTCTTGATATTTTGGGTTATATGGCTGTGTGGAAGGGCCCAAAGTGTGTGTGTGTGTTTGTGTGTGTATATTCAGACCAGCAAGTGGTCTCAGCTCTAGATAGGATATTATTGATTACCCAACTGACTGTCTCAATTGAGAGGTTGGTAGCCACAGAAACATGAACTCATCTGAATTCTCTTATTTGACATCCAAAAGCTTGAATACAAGATACCATCATCCTTCTGTTTTACCCATTTGCCGTACAGTAACCTTTCTAGGAAATTCACAGGAAATTCCCCAGAATGGTACCCCATCTCACTCCCACTCAGAGGAAATTATTGTATACTTCACACAGGAACTGAGAGGATTGGGAGAGGGACACATAATGAATTTGCATCAGAGCCATTTCACCCCCTTTCTCTGTTTTATCTGATTTGGTCTGGGCTAGCCTGGGAATACAGTTCTTCCTTTCCCATGTCTCTGTTTTGGGCCCGTATAGAGAGACCTATTAACTTGGTCACCTTAAGTAAAGTAAAGGTTTACCCTTGACTTTAAGTCTAGTCATGTCTGAGTCTGGGGGCTGGTACTCATCTCCATTTCTAAGCCGAACAGCCAGCGTTGTCCATAGACACCTCCGAGGTTATGTGACCAGCATGACTGCATGGAGCGCCATTACCTTCCCACCAAATTGGTACCTATTGATCTACCTACATTTGCATGCTTTTGAACTGCTAGGTTGGCAGAAGCTGGGAGTTCACCCCACTCTCCGGATTCAAACGGCCAACCTTTTGGTCATCACGTTCAGCAGCTCAGTGGTTTAACTCGCTGTGCCACAGGGGCTCCCTATTATTTATCAAGCCTAACACCATTGTTCACAGAGGAGCTGAAAATATGCGGACCCATCCCAGCCAGTTATCATCAGACACAACAAATTCCTTCTTGATTGCACCCCTCTCCTGGTCAGATCAATAAACAGGTGACACTTCAAATACTCCAATGACAGTTTATCAAATTTCCCACCACTATGATAAAGTACGAGAGAAAAGGAAAGCAATGGGCTCTATGTTAACATGCCAACAGCCTAACTCAGTTCTCACCCATCTTTACACATACAATTCAAGGACAGGATCGAATCACCTTGCATTGCAACTAAAGACTATACAAATGAAGTACTGTCCTTTGTTTTTCTCCTGTAACTTTTACTGTGAGAATTAAAATACATAATTCTTATCTACACATGCGCTGAATGTTCTATGAAGTCACGGCACTCTGAACTTTTAAAAATCCCTTGTATTCTCCAACAAAGTGTTTCTTTCTTGTCTTCATCAAAAAGCAGGACTACTTGTTCTTGAAGGGAGGAAGTGGCCCTTTGATCAAAACTTTAGAAGTTGCTCAGAGTGTCCACCTACAATCCACATATCTGTAAAAGATCTGGTTAGTATTTTAGATTTATATGTTGTGGGTAGGATTTAGGGGAAGGAGGTGTTCAGTTTTAAATGTAAATTCAGTTCAGTTTTAAAAGTTCAGTTTTAAAAGTAAAGTTAAATTAAATTTAACTTTACTTTTATTTTAACCATATTTTAATGTGTGTTTCCATGACACAACAGTTTATGTGATTCTCTCTCTCTCTCTCTCTCTCTCTCTCTATATATATATATATATATATGCCTCGTTTTGAAATGCTATTGAGTCATGTCATATAAGGTCATTGTTACCTGCCTTGAGACAAAAATAAAGTCAATTTTTAGATTTATATGTTGTGGGTAGGATTTAGGGGAGGGGGGTGTTCAGTTTTAAATGTACTTTTAACTTTATTTTTATTTTAACTATATTTTAATGCTTGTTTCCATGATACAAAGGTTTGCGTAATTCATTTATATTTATGTATTTCCTTCATTTTTAAATGCTATTGTGTCATGTCATGTAAGGTCATTGTTACCTGCCTTGAGACAAAAATAAAGTCAATTGTTAAAGAGCCCAAAGGCATCACAAATGTAAATCAAAGCAAGGATTGTTGTTGTTGTAGCTGTTGTATGTCTTCCAGTCACTTCTGACTTATGGCAGTCCTAAAGCAGATATATCTCAGGGTTTTAGTGACATTACTTATTCAGAGAGTTTGTCATAAGGCAAAGATAGGCATATGTATGTTCAAACATCCTTATATTATTATTATTATTATTATTATTATTATTATTATTAAACTTTATTTGTACCCCGCTAGCATCTCCCGCAGGACTCGATGCGGCTTACAAAGGCCAAGGCCTCAACAACAATACAACAATACAAACCTAAGCAAATTAAAATAATTAAAGCAATCTAAAACAACAAGCAATAAACAATTCCATTAAGACACAATAAAACTGGGCCGGGCCAGAGTAAGGGTATAAAGGTTAAAGGTGCTGATGTGACAGGTGGAAATGGGGCTTATGGACAAGTGCAGTGTGCAGCGATCTTGGCTTTAATAAAGTGCTTGTGGGACTTGGTAATGAAAAGTTTCCTATTCGGGAAAGGCACATCGGAACAGCCAGGTCTTCAAGTTCTTTCTGAAGACTGCCAATGTAGGGGCCTGTCTAAGATCTTTGGGGAGGTGTTCCAGAGTCGGGGGGCCACCACGGAAAAGGCCCTGTCTCGTGTCCCCACCAAACGCGCTTGCGACGCAGGTGGGATCACGAGCAGGGCCTCTCCAGATGAACGAAGAGAACGCGTGGGTTCGTAGACGGAGATGAGGTCACGCAGGTAGGCTGGTCCCAAACTATTCAGGGCTTTGTAGGTAAGCACCTGCACCTTAAATTGGGCTCGGAAAATAAACGGTAGCCAGTGGAGCTCCTTGAACAGGAGGGTTGACCTCTCTCTGTAAGGGTTGGATTCAGCCCAGTTGATCTGGCCTCTGCTCAGCTGGCCAAGGACCATGTTAGCCAGTTCCTTCTGGACTCTCGGGCCCCTTCTACATTGCTATATAATGCAGATAATCAAAGCAGATAAACCACATTATCAACCATAGCAGAGCACCTGATGAACCAACCTGGATATAGCAAATTATTTGAGAAAACAGAAATGCTGGACCACTCTAATAACAACTATGTCAGACTACACAGAGAAGCCATTGAAATCCACAAGAATGTGGACAATTTCAACAGAAAGGAGGAAAGCATGCAAATGAACTAAATCTGGCTACCAGTATTAAAAAACTCTAGAATCAGGACAGTAAATAAAGACCAGCACTAAAAAACAAGAGAATTCCTGACAAGAATCAATCAGGGTCAGTTAACACCTCCCAACAAAGGATCCCCGGGCAGCAACCACCTAGGCTTTGAAGAAACAAGGTCATGAAATTCTAATTAAGGTGGCCAATTGCAAC